GTCAAAGAGCTTCAAAGACAAAAAGGACTATCAGAAATACTGCTGGCACGAGTCCATCTACTGCCTTCAAGTGTGTGTGTGTGTGTGTGTGTGTGTGTGATTAATGGAGAGGCAATGGAGGGGAAGAATGAGGAAAGTGGAAGAGAGAATCAGAGAATAAAAGAGCAGTGTGTGCATGTTCAATATGTGTGCTTCGCATGTTTTTAATGTAAAGGTTTAAGCCCTCCAACAGCACGGCCTTGCTCTGGTGGAAAAATGAAGCAATCATATCTATTCTGAGAAACTCCACAACATATGTGCTTTTTAATGCTACCATCAGGCAGCATATTTATTTTTTCTGCCGTATAGTAATGACTTTTTTCTCTCTTTTTAGTGCACACTGATCATGACAGCCCCTACAGCAGTCTCTTTTACAACAAGGCTCTTTTTTCTTCTTCCAAACTGGACATCTATATCAGCTAAATGATTTTGGCATGACATAACTGCCTGGCCTTAACTCCATTAGTGTTGTTTGTTGGGGAGAAGGCCTGGCAAGCAAACAGGGTTGAGAAGGACCAACGTAATTAGAAAAAGGGAGAGAAAGACAGGTATAAAATATCAGACAAGCTAATCACCCTGTATTCCAGCTGGTCAGGCCTTAGTTGAACACAAACACTCATAGTATACACACAGTACACACACAAGCTAGCAAAGCCAATCAGCGGCAGCACACAAATGCTGTACATGACCACACATTTTAGATAGTTGATGTACACTTGGATAATCACAACACAGCAGCACAAAAAAGCAACAGACTTTTTCCTGGACTTTGACACACACACACACACACACACACATACAGGCACACAACATGGAAGTCAGATGGCCTCTCTGTGGAGAAAGGAAATTATGCACCAACCATATTTATAACACTTTACTGTCAGTTTTCACAGCCAATCACATACACACATGCACCCACACACATTGCCACACATACATAAACCCTAACAAACATACAGTTTTGCACATGCGTATGCTGTCTACTTCTCACCGATGAAACATTTACACACATGAAAGGAACACTGGTTATGTATTAGTCCTAGAGCCAATCAACTCTTATTAGTGCTGTGAATGTTAATTGGTGTGGCGTGCTCAGAAAACACAAAACTAATTTTCCCACCTAACAAGGTTTCATCGTTTTGGACATTTCCCTTTCAGCCCTGTGTTTTCTGGCTTGTTCCTTTTGTTTGACAAAAGATGAGTGTTCCCTGTTTTCTCTCCCCGGGTCTTGATGGGAAAAGTATGTCCCTGGCATTGTGTACTCTTTAGACAAAGAAAATGTGTGCTTTTATGAACAATTTAGCTCAGCGCTTGTGGTAACGAAGGAGCACAAAAAAGGCAAACATTTGACAGACAGGAATGGTTTTAGGATACTTTAATGTTCAGCACAGCCAGAAACTATTTCTCGTGTTTACTCTTCTTGCATTGAAGGTTTTGACAACTTTTTGGGTAGGGATGAGATTTTTCTGAAACGAGGTTGTATTTCACTTTTTTGTTGCTGCCATGCTGATGTTGACCAGAGCAAATAGGAAACAGATCGTAAGCAAAGCTGTTATCACTCTATCCTGCACTCCCTTTCTCTGCCATTCTCTATTATCTATCATTCTATCCACCCACCTACCTATCTAACTGTATCCATAGATCTATCTTGTTTATCTCCGTAATTTGCATCTCTTTCAAATCACTCTGTCCTCTGCTGACAAACAGAGCAAAAAATATTTACAAAAAAAAGAAAGGAAGCAGGAAAACGGGAACAAGATAAAGAAAAAAATTACCAAGTAATATTTTAGAGGTGTTCCATGGCTAATAAATCTTTATTGTTTTGTTTACCCACCATGATATTTATTTGTTATTTGTTCTATCAGAGGGAAACCCATCCAAGTCAAATAAAAGCCATTATGAGACTGTATGTGTCTCTGCCCGTCTTTATGACTCCAGCAGAGTGACTGACACCAGCTTAGGGAGTTTAGGCCACTGTAATAAAACTCAGATGTCACAAAGCTTTTAATGAAATTTTCATCATACAGGTGGTTACTGGTTGTCTAGTGGTGAAAATGGTTTCAGGGTTATTGAAATGTTTTTATGTCCAAGCTGCATCCAGCTGTTTGGCTGACATTTTGGGAGGTGTAAACAAGAGATGGACAGCTTGTCAAGATTTTAATACATACTGGAAAAATACAACATCTGATTTTAATGAGTACAACAGTATTCACTGTGTGTGTGCTGTGTAAAAGCTGTTTGCTATCTCTAAACAGATATTATCTGCTGTTGAAACAAAAAACAAAACATCCCATGCTAATTGAGAGATGTTATAAGTTCTGATGAGATGTGGTATGATATTTTTGCACAGGAAGTGACTAAAACATGAAAAATTTAACACTTTGTCTTACAAAAGATACTGTCAAACACCTCCACCAGGTACATGGATTATAAAAGTATATTGTCTTAAAATCACTCCACATGATTACTGAACATGGAGGCATTCAAAGAAATCTCTTTCCAGTGACAAGTGCACGAACAAAAAGCAGACATTTGTTCCAAACCATTCAAACTTGGCAGAAAATCGTGTGTCCATATAGGATTTCCAGAAGCTAATGGAGAAAACAGACTTTCCAGGCCTTAATATTTGAGCAGATGCCTCTTGCTGCCAGGGCACAGTTCTGATATGACCTTTTGTATTGGCAGATATTAAAAATAACTCTTTACTCTACCATAATGTATTATTAATGTCTGAACACATTCGACATTCAGAACTACGTTATGTCTTCATGCTGCAGTTTTCCTCTTCTCATCTCTCTGTGAGTCATACCTGCTGACCTTTAAGCAGAGAGAAGGCTATCACCAACAGGAGATTGGCTTGTGATCCTTGAAAAGGACACTCGCTGATAGACTAACACTAACCCATACAGGTGTCACACAGGGCTCATTTGGATAGCAGGATAGTTTGTACATCTATGTCTACACATTTCAGAGATTGGAATTAATTTTTTTGATCTGCTTCCGCTGCCACAGCATTTGAGAGAGGAGGCAATTCATCTCCGAAAAACGTCTATTAAAGAGATGGCTGCCTGAATTCTACATCAGTTCTACTAGGAGGACAAACTCTATAAATTTCAGTGATACTGATTATGAAAATCACTGAGGAAGAGGAGCAACAAACAGCAGAAACAGAAGAAAAAACAGACTTCCATTATTCATTCCATGTTTGTCACTGTTTCCTTACTAATAAATGATTGATTTTTGACCAAATGTCTTCCAGACCTTCCTCCTTCCACCACAAAGACCACGCCACTCCTCTCAGGGTGTGGTGACTCTCTGTGGTCCCTAGAAGTCTGAAGGGATTGAAGATGACAACAACATCCTTCACTTGCTGGGGTAGTATTGGTGTGTGTGTGTGTGTGTGTGTGTGTGTGTGTGTGTGCTCTCAGCTATCACCTCCTCCATATTAAGTTACATTATTCATGTGAGGAGAATTATAGCACTTACCAGGTCACCCTTTGCCACTTCTGATATTACTGTTAACCCTTTAACTCACACACATACTGTACACACACACAAGATTTTAGGTGGGCCACAGTGTGCGTCCTTTTCTTGACACAAACACACAGATATTGCACACGCAAACATATGCCACAGCAACACACACATGCAGATATAAAAGCAGGAAAATATGGGTTCTTCATACACACAGACCAAACTCCAAACTAATTTTTCTCCTGGGGTATCTCATCCTACACTTTTTGTGTAACATTAGACACCAGATATTAGATGGATCCACCCTCAGGCTTGTTCAGATATGAGCCAGGGTCGCTCAGCCCTGAACCATTAACCTGCAAACAGGGCACTGGAAGCAAGCTTGTTTGATTTCATATGCCTTTGTGTCAGGTGGCATTATAGGAGGGCTCAGTTAGACAGAGATGACAAGTGGGCTGGCAGAGGTGTACATCCGCGTGTCAGGTAGTATTTGTCTCTGCAACAAAGAAAAAGCACGCAAGTGCGAGTGAATGTGCAAAAACGTGCAGTATGCATCTCTGTACATGTTTCTGTGTGAGTCTTTTATTAAAAGGTGAGTGACTGTAGTGCAAGACAGAAAGAGTCCAGGAGAGAAAAGAGAGGAACAGCAGGGAAACTCAGCAAGAGGAAGGAAAGGGTTAGATAAGGGAGACACAGGTGGCACAATTTCATTTTTTGAAAGCTGAGAGACCTGCAGTGGTTAGCTCAAGCATCTCACTGTCCCTCTCCATTTCTGTCACTTTCTTTTTCCACCCCTCCCACTATCGCACTTTCTCTCTCTATGTCAGTCTCTTTTTCTCTCCCTTGGGGGCTGTAACTGCATTTAATATTGTTCCATAAGGAGAGCAATAAATATCGACTGCTGGCTAGCTCATATTCCCCTTGTTTTTTAAGGCACTCTACTGTATGAGACCAAAGTCATGC